GCACGCACACACACGCGCGCGCACACAAGCACACGCACACGCACACGCACACGCACACGCACACGCACACGCACACGCACACGCACACGCACACGCACACGCACACGCACACGCACACGCACACGCACACGCACACGCACACACACACACACGCATTCACGCGCGCACGCACGATCGCACGCACACACGCACACACGCACACATGCACACACACACATGCACACACACACAGCACGCACGTACGCACGCGCACGCACGCACGCACGCACGCACGCACGCACACACGCACGCACGCACGCACGCACACACACACACTCACACACGCTCAGTGCACTTAAACGCGACCAATATTCAAACTCTTTCTACCGCACTCGAATTATGCACCATGTCTAGATCTGTCACTGCATTATATCGCGTGACACATATATCTCACCGATACAACGGTCGCCGTCGTCTGCGCTTCGCAATTTATTCTGTGATTATTCACTTCACGAAAGTCAACGAGACACTGCGAGAGTTTCTCTCATTTATTAATGTGTTTTGCTCTAATGGGAGGTAATGCGGCAAACAGTGGCAGCTAATCGCAAAGCCGGGGAAACCTCGCTGTGTCTCTGGAACTCTCCCCCTCCCCCTCTCTCTCCTTCTCTCTCTCTCCCTCTCTTACCATCACACACACGCACACGCGCGCGTGCACACGTGCATATACACGCTTCCTATCACATGCGGTCCCACCTCTCCCAATAAGAAATCAAAAGATAAAAGACATTAAAATAAAAAAGTAAAAAATAATAAATAATAAAATAAAATTATATAAAAAATATAATAATATTTGATCTGTAACCTACATAGGCTTCCGTGAAGTGTTCTCGTCAGTTTGCGCTATTATTATCATGTACCATAGTTTATTCTATATTTTTACTAAACGTTTAAATGTAGTAAAAAATTTTAAATTTAGAAATTAACGGTGAAGTGGCAGAAGTACATAACAGTCCAAAAGTAAAGAAACAGAATTTCCCGATGTGGGATTCGAGCCCAGAATCAATGGTTTTGGAGTCCGATGCTTTATGCATTCGGACACTGGGGCGGTATGGTTACACAACATGATTAACACGTTGGAGATGGACAACAGATATCCCTCGTTCTATTTATAGATTGTGTACAGATTATCAAGGTTTCATACGCAAAATCACATTTTCGGAAGTTACATTTTCTTCCAAAGTTGAGAGGCAGGATACGGAATCATTGTCGACACGTGGTGTACGTTTCACGCCCAGCCATTCACCCCCTCCGGAGTTTTTAGCCGAAATGTCTTACTTTAATAGTATAGATGATTGTCTTTCGTGGCTATATAGTGGGTATGTTTCGTTGTATGTCATCTATACAAGCTGGTAATTATAATACGCACTCATAGAGTTTGGGGGTGGTTACCGTTTGTTTATGGAATATATTTAACCGACTTACTCCGGTCTAGCCTACTCTATACCACTTATCCTACCATACCATTTTCTACCATACTCTAGGCTACTCTACCCTACACTACCATATCCTACACTACCATACCCTACGCTACAATACCCTACTCAACCATATCCTACACTACCATACCATACACTGCCATACCCTACACTACAATACTCTACACTACAATACCATACACTACCATACCCTACACTACAATACCATACACTGTCATACCCTACACTACAATACCCTACTCTACCATACCCTACACCACAATACCATACACTGCCATACCCTACACTACAAAACCTCTACTCTACCATACTCTAGGCTACTCTACCCTACACTACCATACCCTATACTACAATACCCTACACTACCATAGCCTACCTTACCATACCTTACTCTACTTCAGTCAATCTACTACACCGTAACCCGATCCACTCTATCCTAGTCACACAGACACACACACGCACACACACACACACACACACACACACACACACACACACACACACACACACACACAC